TATACACGGTCTTTATAAAGTACAACTCCTGGAATGCTAATATTATTTACTGCTGCAAACAGAACAGTACACTCATTTTTTCCTTGATAAAAATAGTTGTGCTTAAGTGGGGTATCAGGGTAAGTAAAGTGAGCATTCAAACAGGCTGAAAAAGCATAAAAACATTCCTCTGCATGATGCAAGTAAAGCCACACTGAGTACAGGTGCATTAAGGTCACTGCTGTTTAAAACTGATGAAAGAACAGTTACCAATTATAGGCTTCTGGGACATACAACAGCACTGAGACCAAGACTAAGAGAGCTTCTCTCGTTTAATTTTAGTACAGTGAACTTCAGAAAGAAGATTCAAATTCTGCTCACATATATGAAGGACAGCAAGAAGGAAATGTAATTTAAATTAAAAATAACAGGGACTGAAGAAAGAAAGAGTCCTCCAGACTGTAGACAAGATTCAGCAAGGTGGTGCAGTAAAAACCATCTGCAAGGGGGTCTCAAACTTCTGTGAGAGGGAAGGAAGGAGCTCTTAAAGACAGACCTCACACAACAGGGTCAGCTAACTTGATATCCTACAGTCATCTTTTAGCTTTTTATGCATCTTTAGCTGAGTTCTTCTTTCATTACAGCTAAGCAAACATAAACCACGAACTGAAAGAAAATACAACTAAACAAGTATTAGAGATGCAGCAGTTGTTCAACATTCTCAAGACAGAATACATTTTCATTAGAAAGCAGTGCCATACACAGATCTTTTCACTGTGCTTATGTTAAACATTTGAAGTCATCAGGTCAGAGGAAAAACTGCAGTGCTTGAGAAAATACTTAAGAAAGCCCGAAAGACAACTGAAAACAATTATGTGATCCAACCTGAGTAAAAACAAACAAAAAACCCCCTCAATTTGTATCAGGACTACCAGTAATTGCCTTTTTTCTTACACCTGTCTCCAAATCCAAATGACAGGTGCACAGCTTTTTGTGTGGGAGGAAGCAAAGCACACTTGTGTTTTTAAATACCTTGGGATTCCTTTTTGTTTTGATTAATAATTTGATCCGGATGGGGGTGGGGTGGAGGTGGTGTAAGGATCTTCCTCTGAGATCAGTACCTTACCCTGTCAGCGCTCCCGGTGAGTATTTAACAAACAGCAGAGCAGAGCTGCCAGCAGAGGGCTTGGTTCACACCACATCCACTCACCACAGCTGCGAGGGACTGCACAAAGATCAAAACCACTCATATACAGCGAGATCTAGTCTTAAAGGGAAAAAAAAAAAAAAAAAAAACATAACCTCCCCAAATCACTCAATGCTATACAGAAAAATTCTCAGTTATTTCAGTGGGTTACAGTGTGCAGGTCTGAATACCCTACTAGTATATAGAGCAGTACTGTCAGAACAATAAGGTCTGTGATATTATGAATGACATGGTAGTGATAAACTGAGGAGCACAAAGGCATGTGCATGTATTTCTACTGGCTCTGTCTTTATGTACAGATGTAACTGACCCAAGAAAAACTGCAAGACAAGAAAAAAAATTTAAGAAAATAACACTATTAATCTTCCCGTAGTCTGAAGACAGATCCCCCTCAAGAGGGTGGGGGACACCACTGCAACAAAAACCTGCATGTCATGGTATGCCGACTTCTCTCTCACTTTTTTGCAAATAAACATCCTCTCACCTCAACATCTCCAGAGACCAGAGCTCCTGCAACACATTCTCTTTACAAGACAGCAACTGCAACAGCATCACCAAATCCTCTCTCTCCTCTCTAAAGCAGAGAGAAATCAATACATATCAACTGGGTAAAGAACAGATTGATCACCTTAGCTACCTGCAGCCAATGACTTACTAAGACAAGACCCCTCACCTGGAGTTTAATATGATCAACCAAGACCAGTGTTATGCAATTCATCCACCTCAGAGTACTGCAGCATCACCCAGCTGTGTTTCCACAAGAACAATCCCTTCCTACCAGAAAAGCCACTGCTGGAATGACCACACAAACACTTATCCCACCAGGACTGCAGGTCAAACCCTTGTGAAATGGAACCCCTCCAGTACACGTGTGTGTCTTCCTCAAAGAGTCACTCTTCTTCCAACACTGCTTTTCTGTGAGAACAGAATCGTAGAAGTGTTAGACAGATGAAGCTTCTAAACAAAGCTAAAGGAAAAGAAAAAATCTGTTCTATAATCGGCACTGGCATGGACAATGCTCCAGTGTTGCCTCACATTTATCTACCTATTAAAAGCAAACGGAATGGCACAAACTCTAACTGCTGGATAAAATAGCTGCATTCAAAGCAGTGAACCATACTGCTGGTGAACAGTTTTGGATCGCTCTTTACACAAAGTATCTGCCACTCTTGATGCACTGGGTCAAGAGCAGAGGCACAACAAAAGGTTGTGCAAACTTTATGCAAGGGTACTATACTAAGATGTACCAGCTGCCTTGCACAGACATGCTGTACCTGATAAATTGGTACAAAATCCACAGCTAAAGAGCAAGGTTAATTCGTCAAGTTACTTTCCCAAATGCACAGCATTATTCAACACTAGAGACCTGCTAGTCAGAAGGAACTGAAGTCACTTTGAGAGTGGAGACAATAAGCCCCCTGGCAACAGGGAAAAAAAGCACAACAGCCTTGAGAACGTCTTCCACATAAAAGCACAGCACCGTCTTGATTTAAAAATTATCAGGGTTCTGTGCTCATAAACCAAGTACATAATCAGAGATGGGATGCAGTTCATACTCCCGTGAGACTGAATGAGATTGCTAGGAATGCAGGTATCCGATGCTATTAGCATGCACAACACACCCTTATTAAAAGCTTTTGTGTTCACAGCTTTATCTGGAAATTGTTTTGCTAAGTTGGAAGCAAAAATAATGGCTTCCCTTCTTTCTATAAGCCTAAGTAGCTGCTAACACCTTTGGACATTAATTGCTTTGGACATTAAACATTCTGCGACAGAAAACTTGAGTTACTCCACTGAACTTCCACTTAAAATTCTGAAGTTTATACCATGACCTTTTTGAAAAATTAATACTTAATATCAAATGCAACCAAAATTCCATATTCCACTTCAATATTTATTTGATGGGAGGAGGGGCTCAAACAGACAGGGCATGGCTTTAAAAGAAGTATCTTCACATGTACATCTATCCACACTGCAGAACGAATTAATGACATTTAAGAAATTAATAATCTCACTTAATTAATGCTCACTACGAAACTGTTTTGATAATGATCCTGTAATTAGGTTGTCTACCACTCCTCTATGCCACAGACTTGCCATTAATTTCTTCTTAGTAAAGAAATTACAATTTTAGAAATTGTAGTTCTGGAATATGTTATATTTTGCACTGAAATATCTTAATGGTATCAAAGAGCTTTCCACAGTGCTGCAACATTAACACACTGAGAAACCTACCTGCCAACCTTAGAAATTTGAGAAAAGTTCTGCTTACAAAGCTGAGTATCTTAACACTTGGTCATCTCATCATGGACCAGGAGTCAGAAATTTGGGGGAGCAGGAGGACAGAAAACCAATGTGGTCTCACATGCACTACAAACACAAACATATGTGTTTTATTTATAGTTTACCCAAGTCCAAAAGCAAGTCCAAACACATGGCAGTAATTGCCAATTTCGATTTCATACTAACTTAGAATCAGACCACAGATCATCATTTAACTCCATCAAAAGGGGACCTGGAAGGCATGAGTAATTTGCAGTTATGGTTAGTAATTAAAATCTGACATCTAATCTCAGATGTCACAAACAAGTATCTCTGCAATACACCAACGAGTTATTCCTGTTGGATCAATTTCACAGTCAGTGTCAAAAACACACTTAAACAATCACCACCACTCCTCAAAAAAACCCCAAACACCATGTATCAGCACTGATGCACTGAGCAGCTTAATAATGGTGTGAAGCAGCTAAATCTGAAAAGAACATGCATTTCCTCATGGAACTCCACCTACAAGGAGTGAAAAGCGGGATGCAAAAAAAAAGTTCTGGAAACAAAATATTCACTTCCTTGGAATGTGGCCCATGCATTTCTTTATTTCCCTAAACCCAGCAGAAAGTCCTCACTTACAACATAGGCTCCTGAGCACAGCCATACACTAATTTCCAAACCATGAGGAAACAGCACTGTAAGAGCTTAATCTTTAGCTGGAGTTAGTTTAGGGACGATACTTTAAAAAAAGTCTAGGAAATTAATTCTACGTTCAGCTAAAGCTGGTCTTCTAGCCAAGCCAGCCTGCAATGCAAAGAAGGCTCTCACTGTCAACTCATCTCAAATAACACACGGACTCGCAGTCCAAAATAGAAAAAGCTTCAGTCGCACAGCTCCGATATTTTTCAAGCCTTGCCCGCGGCGCAGGAGCCACCGAGCAGCCCTGGGAAGGCTCGCTCAGGATCTGTGTCTGTGCAGATCCAGCAGCATCCGATCCGGATCCCATCGGATCCAGCGGGCTCTGCCTCGGCGCCGCAGAGACGAATCCCCGGCCGCTACCAAAGCAAGCGCATCCTTATTTATTTACTTTTTTTTTTTTTTTTAGCGTCTCTACCCAATGTTTCCACTCCCCTTCCCAGACTGATCCCCACGGCGAGCCCCCGAATCAATACCCTATCCGAATCAATACCCTATCCGCTGGAGGCGATTTGGAAGCGGAAAACCTGTAAGAGACCCCCCTTCGGTGACGGGGAAAACAGACCTACGGCTCTAAATACCTCTCGCACTGGGGGACCATCTCCCAAAAGCACGTGTGTGTGGAGGGAGATGGATACCACTGCGTCACGAAAAGACAAAAAAAAAATATATATATATATATAAAACAGAACTGAGACGCAAGCTATGCACCCGCGCTATTTGCGCCTGCTCGAGGCTCGGGGAGCTTTCGGCTTTTTTTTTTTTTTTTTTTTTTTTAAGCTTTTCTGCCGACACGCTCCGAGAAGCCGCCGCACCCCCGGCGCCGGGGGAGCCCGGGGGCCGCTCTCACCTTATCCAGTTCATCGTGCAGCTCGGCCAGGCTGGGCCGGAGCAGCTTCTCGCCCAGGTCAGCGGCCGTGTGTCGGTAGTGGTCGATGCGGGGCACGGCGTCCATGGTGTTGTGGCCGAAGGTGCGCAGGTAGTAGGTGTTGGTATGGGTATCATAGTAGTAGTGGTGGTGCCCGCCCGAGTGCAGGCTGCCCTCGCTCATCACCGTGTCGCCGCCGTTCTGGACGCCGCTCACGTTGCCGCCCTCCGAGCTGCCTCCCCCGGGCTCGCCGGGGCTCTCGCCGCCGGCCGACGGGTCCACGAAGTTCACCCGAAACCTGCCCTTGGCTTCCTCGCCTCCCTTACCCGCCGCGCCGATGTCCCCGCACGACTTGCGGGGCCCCTCGGCCACCAGGTCCACCTGGAAGCGGCTCTGGCTCGGCGTGGGACCCAGCGGCTTGCCCAGCGCATCCTTGGAGCCCTCATCCCCCGCGGACCCCACCGTCAGCTCCTTGCCCTCCATGCCTTCCCCTCGCTCTGCGGCCGCCACTGCTCCGAACGCCCCTCCCGGCCGGCGGCTCCGGTGCTTTAAGCGGCCGAGCAGCGCCCCGGGGCTGCCGCAGACACAGCGCCGCGCCCCGCCCCCGCCGCAGCGCCAGGTGACGGTGCCTACGGTGCCTGCGGTCCCTCCGCCCGATCCTGCTCTGCCCAGGCAGGAGCGCGGTCGCTTCCTCGGCTGGCGCGGCGGGAGGGATGCGGGGGGGAAAAAACCGGCGGCGCCGCGCAGGCTCCGCCCGCTCCCGGCTGCGGCGGAGGGGGCGGCGGGAGCGCGTCCCCGGCCGGGCGGCGGCGGCTCCTC